ACAGTAGAACCTCAGAGTTATGAACTGACCGGTCAACCACACACCTCATTTGGAACCGGAAGTACACGAGCAGGCAGCAGCAGCGACGACAGAAATACAGTACGGTAATGTGTTAAATGTAAACCACGAAAAAAAATAGGGGACGTTTTTTAAAAAAGATTTGACATGGTAAGGGAACTGTTTCTGTACTTGTTTTAATTAAATTAAGATGGTTAAAAGCAGCATTTTTCTTCTAGATAGTAAAGTTTCAAAGCTGTATTAAGTCCATGTTCAGTGGTAAACTTTTGAAAGAACAGCCATAACATTTTGTTCAGAGTTATGAACATTTCAGAGTTACAAACAACCTCCATTTCCCAGGTGTTCGTAACTCTGAGGTTCTACAGTTTGCAATCCTGCAATTTTGGTGCAATCAGAGCTCCAACTGAAGTTGCACTGGGAGTTCAGTGCAAACAGTTCTTGCAAGATCAGGTCTGTACTCCTTTATGGATTTCATAACTTGGTGAACTTTTAAAAATAAATAATTGAATAGAAACTCTCTAAATTAGAGTAGAACTCTTTCTGAAGTCTGTGGATGGCTAAATAGCTCTCATTCTGTTTTAAATGTCCTGTTAAAATAAATTAGCCTTAGTGCAAATAGTTGGGCTTTATCGTCTTTAATTATTTTTTTTGTTCTTGTGTGTTTTTAAAGTTTGACCTTAATGCTCCAAGGATTTTAGTTCCACTTCTTGGCCTAATGACTTAGTCCTGTTTTTTAACTACTTAAGGTCAAAGAACAGAATTGTTGGAATAAAGAAATTTAAGTGAGGATGAGGAAAAGGGGCACTTAGAATGCTGCTGTGTTCTTAATAGCCAGCTAAAAATATTGTAACTAGTAACAGATTATCTTCGAAGCTGCCACTGTAAAGCCATCTCACTGTCTAGGTCCTCTGTTCAGTAGCAGTAGAGATGTTAGCTCTGGACTGATAAGCCAGGTCTTAATCTGCAACTTGGAAATTGGAGCCACTTACCAAACAAGTGTAAGTGAGGGAAGAGGGGGTGGGGCAAGAGCGGGAAGAGGCGCAGCAAGGGAGTTCTTGGCTGAAAGCAGCTCCCACATGTAACTAAACTGAGCATGCCAAAGTCTCCCTAGCCACACTTGAAATGGCAGCACCAGCAGCTTGGTCACCTGGAAAAACAGCTAGACCAGTGGTTAAAAAACTCTAAATACAATGGAGCAGAATAAAATTACACATTTAGTGGAATGGCATAGTGATATGGGAGTGAAGTGGCTTTATTGACAATACCAATGCATGAATTTGGAGTTGGTTACAAATCAGATAAGTTTTTATCCATGGCTGACCTCTGTAATCTGGGTTTCCCTCTTGATGAATGTTTATAAATCCCATTACTACTAATGTTTATGTGAATTATGTTGAATATAGTTCGGCTTCATGCATTCATAATATCTTGATGCTAATTGAAATTATGGGTGTGCATAAAGAGAACTTTCTCTGTGGTTACAGAAAATAAGTTAATTTGGAACAAAGGTAGAATCCTTAACACTGCAAAATACTGTAAACTACAAAATTAAATAGGTGAGCTAGTTCTGTAAGGTGAGGCACTACCTCCAGCTTCAAGTGCCCTCTACCGCTACTAAGTTGTGCAAGGTCCCTGGCTCCCCTTGGCTCTCACTGTCAATGCTTCTCCTTTCAAATCCTCCCCTGTTCTCCCCCCCCCCCCCAATGTGTTGTACACTAGTGCTTCTAGCTATGTGTGCATGTGCAGGACTTGGAAAAATTTCCCAAATCCCCTGATCACTTTAGAATTCAGCCTCTTGTATGTTCTGTAATGCCTATCCTAGACTTCAGTTAGCCTTTAAGGTTCATTGTGACTTTCTAAGTAGAGCTGGTCGAGAATTTTCCAACGGAAGTGTTTTGTCAGAAAATGCTGATTAGTTGAGTCTGAAATGTTTCACAGAAACATAGTAGATTTGTCGACCTTTCAGTGAACCTCAGGCAGGGTTCAGATGGAAACCTGCCTGGTTTCCAGCCATCTCTTGGTTGGCTGCTGGGGGGCCTAGGCTTTCCAAGAGTGTGGCTCTTGAACAGCTGCACCAGACTGCGCTGGGACTGGGGAGCAAAGGTCTTCTAGGTTCCTGGGACAGTGAGCTGCTGGGGCCCCATCTCCTGCAGCCTGATGAGGCAGCTACCCAGGAAGTCCTGGAAACAGCTGACTAAAATTGATGTGATTCTCCTTAGTTTCACTGTTGTTCAGTGGTGGGCAGCATTAAAACTGACAAAAATCATGCCAATTTCATTCTGCAGCTTCTGGGTCTTGAGGGGCATATTTTGTTTCAAAAACACTGGGTGTCTGTTTCTATAGTGGAAAATTTTATGGAATCTCCATCTTGTGGGAAACTTTTTGAAATGTCAAAAATTCCAGCAAACCAAACGTTCAGAATTTTGACCCACCTTATTTCTAAAAGCATCCGCACAGTATTGTTTTGCCCAAACTGTTCACTTTTACTCTGTGGGTTCTGTTTCCATTAAAGTTGTAATATTTGAGGATAAGAAATAAAATTAAACTGAGAGCCATTATATTCATTTTAACTTTCTTCTTAGTTACACAGATATATCATGAGTGTTGTAGCATCTTGCAAATGACACTTGCTACTGTTTATCACAATCTAAGTTATTTTGATACCTCTTTTAAAATCTAGCCCAGCCTGTTCTGCTGTGTGATTGCAGTTAAGGATTAATGTATATACTTGTTTCAGTGACATACAGGTGTTTTCAGTCAAAAACCATTCTTTGCAGACTTTAAAAGGGAGTGGAAAATTAATGAATGACTATCACATTTATTTAAGTGTTTTTAAACTGTAGGTGAGAAGTCACTAATGATATTGCAAAGTAATCTGCTCATTTTCTTTTCCATTGCTGCTTGCCAAATCGCTTCTGACTTGTCAGCGTTCAGCTCTCATTTTTGCTGCTTTTATACACTTTCCAGTTCTGTTAAAATGCAAGGTCCAAATGTGAGAAAATTAAACACCTTACATGAAAGATTTATTTGGAAAAACCTGTTAAATTCTGACAAAAGCAAAGATTAAGTGACCCAGTATATGAATAATACCTGGGAGAACACATGTTTCAGTCCTAAGTGATAAAGGATAAACCTGTAAGTGTATAAGAAATATAAACCTGGCTGGTCTGGTGCAAGTTTCAATGTTTCACTAAGACATGGAAAATATTAGTGTGTGTGTGTGTATGTGTATATGTGTATATGTATACTCTTATAAAAGTTCAGAGTTCCCTGCCATAGAAGCGGAATAGTTTGTGATTATTTTTATATAGTTGAAGACTACAGTAGATTTTTCTTCATAAACTGGAAGTGGTTATTTAAAGATGTGCGACTAATTTTCAAGGGAAGAGACAATACTCAAATCTTTTGGATGAAGACATTCCCAGTTTGTACAGCTAGCTAGTTAAAGAAACATTGACAAGATGATCAAACCCCAAAGTTAGGTGTTGTTCAAAGATGGTCATAATATAATTTCTGTTCATGTTAGTGCTGACATTTTATTATTTTAAACACGCTGCATTCAATCATTGCTACCCAAACAATTCAAGCAGTTCTTTTCACCCAAATCATCAAATTTGTGCAAATTAATATTCCTCTTTCTAGGCTTGAAAGGATTAGATCTTATTGGTAAATGTTGATTTCACCATACGCACACCAACCACTGAAATAAATATTTCCATTGATGATCACAATTTACAGATGAGCAAAGAAAGAAAAATGCTGCTTGGGAATTTGAGTTTAAAGTAAGGGAATTTACTTTATCAGCATCACATGTCAAAATATACAATTTGTGTTTTAACAGTTATAAAGCTTTAACTTTTTGAATCTGTCTACTGTCATTAAAAATTTGACCTCCCCATAATTTCCCTCAAGTGGGAAAATTTAAATTGATAAAAATTAAAAAAAACCTTAAAAATAAATGTCAGTGTTATCAGTCAAAATGATTTTAAAATAAAAATAAAAATCTAATTCTGCCAAGCCTATCTGTTTCAGTGTCTGAATTCAGCTCTGAAGACACTGCTGAAAATATCCCATTTCTTGGAGAGAAAATAATCTTGAAAATGCTTCAGCAGTTCATATGGCAATGATATACCTATCAATTTCAAACTGAAACATATACAGTGGAAAATAGTTGCCAATATTTGTAAGAACAATTCAGAAGTTAATTTTTAAAAAATTGTCACGAGTAGGTAAGAAATCTGACAAATTTATATAACAAAGCTGCTAATAACTTATTAATAAAAAATAAGGCCACCATCAAGATAAAGATTATTTATTTATGAAGAAAATCCTTTAGCCATTTACAGCAGTATTTAAGAAACAAGTCAGTCTCTTTCAACTCTTTATCACCTTTGGGAATATGACTAAAGTGGAGAGAGAATAAATGTTTGGAAAGCTCTGTGAGCCATACTTTAGATAACTGCCAGATAAATTGTAAATATTAAAAGCCTGAGCAGAGACTTCCAGCTTTTTGTGAAGTGTTCTTGCTGCCTGATTCACGTCTTAAATCAATATGTTGATTATGAATGAAGTAAGTAACAGTTCTCTCTATATATTGAATAATGACCATTCTAATATGGCATTTTACACATTTGTGGCCCTACATATCAGAGACAATTTCATGTTTATACAACCTCGCTTATATAACTGTATTGAGACAAGGTTCTGTAACTTAATGAAAAATGCAATTACTATAGCAAGGAATGGAGACTAAAGAATCTATGGTGTAGACAATAAAATGTCAGCATTATCACTTTGAGGGCTAAATCATGGCAACATGTAAAAATGTCTGACCTGTTGCCAGGTTACTTGATTTTCAAAAATTTGGGTGATAATATTTAAGAAGGTTCTGGGTCCTTAGACAATGAGAAACGTGGAGCCATTTGTTGTGATACTGATATATAGTACATTATTACATGCGATATATTTATTGATTGCTGTAGGAGCTGAGAGAGATGCATAACAAGCAGCAGCTTCAGAAGCAAAAGAACTTAGAAGTTGAGAGGTTGAAACAGAAGGAGCAAGAGAGGAAGACAGTAGAACTGGAAAAGCAAAAAGAAACCCAAAGGTAACAGTTTTTTAGTTTATGCTAAATACAAAATTTATTTAGAGCCATAGGTGTGCATAGTGTTTCACATACAAGTAAAATAAACTTTCTGTTCCTAAGAATTTAATCTAAACTCAGTTATTTACTGAGCATCATCAGTATGTTGGCAGCTCTATGAAACAGGGAGAAAACTCAGGTCCTTAGCCAAGATTTTTGTTTCAGCCCAAAAGGAGACTGCACTTGAAAGGGGGAAAGCCTTGCATCATTGAATCCAAAGCCTAGTGTGGAGACAAACTCTTATGTATGTACAACCACACCCTTGCTTTTGGTTCCTAGAATTCTGAACCAGCAGTAATGTATGCAGATGAGAATTTGGCAAAGAAACTAGGATGCTTGGTATGCTTTTTGTGTGTGTGTATGTGTTTGTTTAACAGAAATGCTTCTCCAGTGCACAGTAATTTTTTTTTTTTTAAATGACCATGCTGTTTGGGAGACTAGGGGAAAAGTCAAAAGGGTTTTATACGCTTCTATGCATTGAATTTTTCGGATGTGTGTAAGACAAAATGTGTAAGTTACAAAAAAGACTTAAATGCTGAACAAGAAATATTTTTGTTTTAAGAATCATTTTTTCCATATATATGGTATGAAGACTAGCTGGTAGCTTTCTTCCATAAGGGAGAAGTTTCATTAAAACACAGTAGAAAATTTTAATATGATACAGCTGTTGTAGCTGTTCGGATTTTGTTTTCAACATTCTTTTGAAACACGCAATGTGGGAGCATTAAACCCTTGATCTAAACAAAAGCTCTTGGTCAAGTGGTTAGAATAAAGGACTGGGAGCTGGCTAGAAAGGCCTTAAATTGTAATCTGGACCATCAGACTGTCTGAGCATCCTGGGGCAAGTCACTTAACTATGTTCCTTCTTCCCCACTCAAACCAATTTGAAAAATTTGGTGAAAAACAAGATCTTGCTGAAAACCATATTTGCGAACAAAAGGCTTTTGAAAAAATAGTTAAAATTGAAAGTGTGTTAATGGAGTCCAGTTAAAAGCCTCACATTATTTACATAATGTTCTACATCTCTTTAAAAATCTTTAACATTAGTAATAGAGCTGGTTGAAATTTTTCCAACAGAAAAGTTTTCTGTCAGAAAATGTTGATTCAATGGAATAGACACATTTTGCCTAGTGTGCCTGGTTTCTTGCCAACCCAGGCGTCCTGCTTCCCTGGCAGCCAGTCTGGCTCAGAACTTGGGAATTGTGGTCCCAGACTTTGGAGCCTGGAATGCTGGGACCAGAAAATGTTGAAAATTTCCATGTTGGTTCTTCTGACATTTTTGTTTTTTAAATGTCCCTCCCAAGAAAATATTGCATATCCAACTTTTTCTGATTCAGAAAGAAACATTTTTTTGGAAATGCAAAATTTCCCAGACGATGGAAATTTTAGGCCCCATGCAATTCTAATGGGTATGTCTGGAGGCAAACAGTTTAGGCTTCCATCTGATTCCCCACAGTTATATAATCATTAATCATTCGCTTGCGCCACCTGGCTTTTACCACCACCTTAACATTGCCCCCTAAAGTTTTCAAAAAGGTCAAAATAACAAGTAAATAGAAAATGACTGATTCGTCTCTTGGATAATATTTTAAACCTCCCAGTTTAATCTCCTGCTGCCTTTCAATGGAAGAGAAAAGATGACAACAGTATACAAGTGAGAGAAAAGAATGGCATGTAAATAGGTAGAATGGGCTAGAGAATAGGTGAGAAAAGTAAATAAATGGGAGAAAGAAATAAGCTACGAGAGACATCTACACACCGTAGGGCAGTGGGAGTGTTCGCTGCTCTTATTGTAGTTAGCTGGAGACAGCCTACATCTTTGTACTGTTGTGGGAAAGGGATGGGGTTTTGAGTAGTTTGTTAAATTGCAGTTTACTCCGCATTTATACTTAAATCAGAGAAAGAATAACTTAAAATTCATCAGCATGTGCACCTAACCTTTGGATGAATGAGGGCCTGGCAGCCACAACCCCAAGTTTATGTTAACTTGTTTTGACTTTATTTGAAATGATAACTATGCACTGAGCATAGCACAAATAACTCTGTTCTGTTGCTTTGGCAGAGCAGTCTGGGACAGTACCTGCAAGGTGAGAGGGTCCCAGAGCTTGGGAACTCCGAGGTCTACACAGCAATGGAACAGCCCTGCAGCCTGAGCCCTGTGAGCCCGAGTCAGCTGGCATGGGCCAGTCACGGGTTTTTCTTTGCTGTGTGGACACAGCCTTAGGGGATTGTGCAGGAGAAGAAAAGTATTTGAGTAATATGACCAGAACTGGCTGTAGCCTTTGGGACAAGAACCTTCCTAAAGTGCAGACATGGTGTTGGAGAGAAAAGAGAAAATAGCTAAAGTCTGTTTCCACTTGTTAATTCCTGATTTAAGGGCCAAATCCCAGAGTAACCAGGCTGCGCACTAGAAAAATCTGTGAGGATAGGGTAACGGTAGAATCATTTTTCCATAGGCAACAGAGCTCCAACAGCTCCTATGCTTCTATGCAAGGTCTATGTCTGTGTCAAACTCTCTTGCACGTTTGGCTGCAGGAAGCATCTTCTCAATCTCTTCATATCCCTTCCGCCTTGTCTTCCCACATGGAGCAGAAGTGCATTGTTTCTGCTAACAGTTAGACCTTTAATGCCCACCGGGAGGGGGGTGTGTGAATAATGCAGCTCCTCTATAAAGCCATTATCCTCTGTGGGTCCCATCCCCATCAGTTATATCAAACTTGATTTTGAGCGGTGAGTGTTAACCACTGTACTAAAAACCATAATTAAAAACTCAACTTTCCAGCTAAAGCAGTATTTACTATCCATGATTACAATACAAGCCATATAGAACCCTCTTTGAACAAATTAAGCACACTTAACACCATTAAATGCTGCATCATGGTGTCTAGAGAAGATTTCCCCTGAATGTTTTTATATAGTGCAGTCTAATAGTATTACAACAAGACTGCTGAATAATAGACTCTAAATGTATTGCAAGAGCACTCACTAATGAAGACGCACAGACTAATGTTTGAAACAAATGGCTGAAAGGGCTGCAGCTTTACTATGTGAAGTTAAATGACATAACTGGAAGTCAGAAAGCCCTGGCAGTATTTGTAAGCTGGAGAAACAGTATTCCTTTTACTATCATTGGCCTTGCACCTTACTCCTAACTATGTATGGATGCTGGTATTACATAACTCTTCTGCTATCCCAAGCAGTCTAATACTACTACCTCCCTGGCCACTCGATTACAGACCTAAAAGTCGCAATATTACAACCAAAAAACCTTCAAAAACAGACTCCAACAAGAGACTGCTGAATTGGAATTAATTTGCAAATTGGACACCATTAAATTAGGCTTGAATAAAGACTGGGAGTGGATGGGCCATTACACAAAGGAAAACTATTTCCCCAGGCTTATTTCCCACTCCCCCACCCCAGTTCCTCATATCTCCTTGTCAATTGCTGGAAATGGGTCATTTTCATTACCACTACAAACAGTTTTTTCTCTCCTGCTGATAAAAGCTCACCTTAACTGATCACTCTCCTTATAGTGTGTATGGTAACACCCATTGTTTCATGTTCTGTGTGTGTGTGTGTGTGTGTGTGTGTGTGTGTAGATAGATAGATAGATCTTCCTACTGTATTTTCCACTACATGCATCCGATGAAGTGGGCTGTAGCCCACGAAAGCTTATGCTCAAATAAATTTGTTAGTCTCTAAGGTGCCACAAGTACTCCTGTTTTTTTCTGAATGTTCTGTGATCTAGGCTGCCTAGTGCTGTGCAGGAAAAGCGTGTTAAGAGAGAGATGCAGTTTTAAAGGCACAGAGCCAGCCTCTTATATAGGGTTGCCAATTTTGGTTAGACGTATTCCTGAAGGTTTCATCACATGACGTAATCTTTAATTAAAGATTAATCTTTAATTCCTGGGGAATCCAGGAGAATCCTGCAGGGTTGGCAGATTTACTCTTGTAAAAAAGAACTGTTTACAGGAAATGCAGTATTTATCATATCCAAAAGGCTTGTTCAGTTGGCCAGTCTTGTTTAGGTATAAGTATTTTGAAATACAAAAATATAGCCTTACATTTCCTGAGCAGACATACGATGGCTTACTTTTCAGTATTGTCACTTTAAAACCTGGTGCCTAAATTTAAGCTCTAAAACTTCAAGGGTTTTTATATCTTCAAATGAATGATGTGAATTTTTTCTACAGTTTATCACTCTTAGAATGATTTTCTGTGGATTGTATTAATAGAACTGCGTAAAACTATAAGAAATAACGAATAAAATATTGATGAATTTGCAACATTGGGAGCTTAAACTCAAAATAGTCAGGGAATGCGAAACATGATTCTCCTAGTAATACCAGCTCAGCACAGATTACATGTTAACATATCCATTTAAATCTACCTAGTAATCAGAAATGAGTAACTTCATGGTAATGACTGTGACTATAAATTTTTAAAGAAATATCTTAGCCCAGTTTGAGAGGGTGAACACCAGCAGTTCTAATCTCCAAGATTTCTGCAAGACCAAGGTGTTAATTTTCCCCCCCTCTGCTTGCAGACAACTCCAGCACAAAATTAGTGAACCATTTACCATTCAGGAGTCCTTGGTACTCTCATTATTCTTCGAGTGATTGCTCATGTGTATTCCACAGTAGGTGTGTGTGTGTGCTTGCCACGTACACCAATGCTGGAAGTTTTTCCCCTAGCAGTACCCATAGGGGAGTGCCCCTAGCGACCCCTAGAGTGGTGCCTCTATGGCACGGTATAAGGGGCACTCACGCTCTTCCCACCCTCAGTTCCTTCTTGCCGCCAGTGAAGGTGCATTGGAACTGCTCTGCTCCAGCTTGTCTGCAGATTTCCTCTAGAACTCTTGTTCATTCGTAGTAGTAGTACCTGTAGTTGAAGTAGTTTAGATTAGTATTAGTTTAGTTTAGTGAGCCCGGGTCGGGGCGTGCCCTGTGCCCCGGGCTTTT